CCTCAACTATCAATTTGAAATTGAAAAAAAAAAAAAAAAAAAAAAAAAAATAAAAAAAAAATAAATAAAAAAAAATATATATATATATAAAAGATTAATAAATAAAATAAGAAATATATGTCTGTATGTATATAATTTCAATTTCATTTTTTTTTTTCTAAGAAAATACCTAGGCTACTTAGAAGCTACTTAAAAGCTTTTTAAAAATTTATATTTTTATTATTTTACTATTAATTATATTTTATTACTTATTATTATATTTTTCATTATTATGATGATTATTATTATTATTATTAATATTTTTATAAATATTATAGCACATTATTTATTATTATATTTTTCATTATTATTATTATTATTATTATTATTGTGTATTCTTATTTTCATTATTATAATTATTAATAATATTACATCACATGCTATATGCAAGAGGACTTAATTAATGGACAAGTAAACAGTTATTTCACAGCATGAACGAATATTAAAGCAATGATAGTGTTATATAAATATTCCATAAAACAATAAATAAGTTTGTGTGAGCAGAAGCCACAACAGAATCAATAAGAAGTGTTAAATGTTGTTTTAAATTATTTACTTAAACTATGTTTAATTAATCAGCATTGACTGTGCGCATTTGCCTCTGTATAATAATAATGATAAATAATGCAAAATTAAATTTTCTCAAAGCAGATATCAATTAGAAACTGTAAAACTCTTAAATTAATTTAGATTTCCTTTTAGCCATTGAAATGGAAAATTATTGTGAAAAATCTATGCAAGTTTGCCTGGTTGGTATCTTTAAATTAAGTTGGAAATTTATAAATTGACAAATGGTATTCGTATAATCTCTGAAATAAAAATGCAACGCCAGCAGCTCTCCGATTATTCATATTTGCCAATGGAGCCTGTTCATAATTCCATTTGATAATGAGGGCGCATAAATGATAAAATATGCATGAGAGTGCACATAGCACACACACAAAAAAAAGGTACAATAAAAACAAAAACAAATAGGAAAAAACAATGCTGCAAAATGAATCTGATGCCTCGGGGCGGTATCACTGGCGATAGTGCAGATGCCAGGGGCAGGCAATTTCCGCAACATTTGCGCAGCTGTTTGCGACGTGATTTGCATTAGCCACGCCCACCAGCTCCGCCTGGGCGCCGATGTCGCCTCGATGGGCGGCCGGGACAGATGTTTTCTCCTCCTCTTCTACTTTACTTTTTTTTTCGCTTTTCACATCGCCATCAGATGGCAAGTTTTTGTGCAATCTATCTGCATGTTGCACGTCATGTTTAGCTATGTTGCACTTATGGTTTTATTATATTGCGGCCGAAGATTTATGGCCCGACAGTTTATATTCGAGCTGTGACCAAATCTTTCAAGCAGCTGCGGTCATGGTTAGCTAAATTTATGTGCGCCTAAGACAGACCACAAATGCCAGCTGGCGAGCGATAACTTGACACAATGTTGCACAAATAAACGGCCTTAAATAATGAGTGCAGCGACAAGAAAATGCCAACGAGAGAGGAAGAGAGTGGGAGAGAGAGACTCACTCAAAGACTGTCCTAAAAGGGGCAGATCCTTGGTTAACTTGGCCAACTCCGCTTAAATATTTGCACTGAGCCGAAAAGTTGCAACTGCCACAAGAATTGCGTGTGCGCTCAAAAGTAAGCAATGGAAACTCGAATCGTCAATTGATAATGGCTAATTATTGGCAAGTAAAATTCGCTGGAGTTACAGCAATTCTTGGCCGGGTCAGAGCCTTTGCTATGCCGTAACTCTCAAAGTTTTGAACAAAGATATAAAAAACACTGGCCATAAATTCGCAGTTGGGCAAGTTGTGCATTGTCGCCCAGAGATTTCTGGCCCGCCTGCCAAGCAAAAAGCCAACAAGCAAAAAGAAGCAAAAAGAATGTCAAGCAAGTGCACAGCGCGATAACAACAATAAGTTGCAAGTTGCAACTTGCAGCAGCAAGTGGCAGCTTGCTCGACTGCACAACAGGGCAAGAGTCGATAGTTTCGGAATACTTTTGGCACTGCCAATGCGAGCGGGCCGCTTGCCCCTTTGATAAAACATTCGAACAGTCAGCGCCGTTTACTGTCAGTCCGGCTCGGCTGGCAGTTCGAGGCAAGTCGAAGTGCTTGGCTGTTTGTAATTTATGGCATTTTAACAAGCAGCCAGCAAAAAGGAGCAAACCGAACCAAACCAAACATCGGGTGGGCCGGGGGATGGGAGCGGGCAGTTCCGTTACAGTTTCTTGCTGTAAATAGGCATAAATTTGCATTTAATGCAGCTGAGAATGAAATGGGCTAAAATGAGGAGCGCAAATGCCAAAAATTATTTTGCTATTTAGTAAGTGTATAATTTCCTGGTCCGCTTTGGGCCTCCACCTGGATTGCAGGTGCCAGGTCACAGGTCGCAGGTCGCCGCTCACAGGTCGCAGGTCGCTAGGTGCCATAAAAGCGGCATAAATTTTTTTAAACTTTTACAACAAATTTGCATTGCAAATGCCTTGAACACACACACACACTCACACAGGTACACACAGGCATATACGCTGCTTGCTTTAGTATTTTTCGCGTTTTGCATGCGGTTTTAACAGCGTTTGGGTCAGTCTATTAAAATGCAAAAACCCGTCGCACGCCCCTTTTGCTACCAACCCCCCCACCCCCCTTGCCAACCGGAAGTCCATTTTGTCTTGTCGTTCACGTCATAAATATAGCCGGGCAAATGGCGTGCTGTTTACGGCTTAGTCTGCCAGTATAGACGGGCTGACAGTATGTGTGTGTGTGTGTGTGTGTGTGAGTGTGTGTGTGTGTGTATTCGTTTGTTTATGTGTGCCGCTTTTAATGACAATTTGCTTGGGGTTTGCATTAAATTGAAGCGAATTTCACTTGACACACATACGTGAAAATATTTATATGTGTGAGTGTGTGTGTGTGTGTGTGTGTGTGTGTGTGTGTGTGAGCACTTTGCACCATTTCGATGTGCGTCGCTTCTTTTGGTTTTATTTTGACAGCATAAATTTAAATAATTTCCACTCTGCATTCGCTTTTACAACTCGCTTTTTGAAATTCGTCTGTCTAGATACTAATCTATATCTCAGTGTGTGTTTGAGTGTGTGTGTGTGTGTGTGTGTTTGTGTAATAACTACCTGGTTTACGCTTCACATAATGACAGTGGACTGCGATAGCAGCTGGACTATCATCAGCTCAACCTGCTGCTGGTAGCGCAACATGTCTGAGCTCGCTGTTTATGCTTGATACAACTCTTTGCGTCTGACTCATATGATTGAGATAGAACACTTTACACTGAACTGAACATCTATTTGAAACTCGCATATAAAAACTTGTAGCTGCTGCCATGGTCTCCTACGGCGTGTAATTGAATCATATGAAACATATGTTTTTATCTTGTTGACTTTTTGTTATTATTAATATAATATATACATGTAGATATATGAAAAATTAAATATTACTGCTATAACTGCTTTATATTCAAGTTAGTTTTAATTTAACATTAAATATAAAATTCATTTTTTTTAATACTTTTTTTTCCTTTTTTTTTATTCTTAATCATACTCAAGTCAGTACAACATTCCCACTTAAATTTAATATGATGCAAGTCACATATTAAAGTGCTAGATCCTGTACATGCTATTTTATAAACTAACGCTATGTGTCTTATTTTTGAGTATTATTTTCCACACGAATGCTTTAACATGCCAAAATTTACTTGCGAAGGCGAAAAGGAAGATGAAGTTGCTGTAGCCTTTGCTACTTGTCACTTAGCTTGATAAACAATTTTTCTCCAGCTATGAAGCTATGTGTGGCCATGTTGTAGCTGTATGTGTAGCTGTGTGTGTGTGTGTGTGTGTGTGTGTATGTGTGCGCTTGTGTATCTATCAAAAAACCAATTTTCGCTGCTAAATTGATGTTTATAGCAATGTACGATGATGACAGCGACGAGCTAGATGATGTTGCCGTCGATGGCAATGATGAGCTCGTTGTGACCACCGTGCCCCCTTGCCTCCTTGCCGCCCTCGTCACCAGCTCGCATCTTCCACCGCACACCAGCTGATGAAGACAAAGTGCCAATGCGAAAAACTAAACGGCAAGCCGCCCGTCTAGGTTCCCTCACTTGCTACAATGCGCCATGAAAATCCTTTTTCGACTCAACTCAGCTCGTCTCGAGTGGCGTCTGCACACGCGACGCGCCTTGACAGCATTTTGATGCTTCCGCCAGTAATTTATGTGACACTTGCATCACGATAGATCAGTAACAGGCGCTGCGGGCCATGACATGGCAGCGTCACTGCTTTTGTTGGCTTCTTTTAGTAGCTATTTATAGCCAGTTTATGATCCATTGATGCGCCTGGACAAATGCCATCAAAGGCAATCAGGCTCAATAATCACGCAATGTAACTGCCTAATCATTTAATTAAAACGGAAGTGCAAACAACAAACATACAAACGCACACACACATACACACACACACACACACGCACACTTGAGTTTCCTTTTGTTTAATATTCTCCGTGCTGCTGACACCGCATTCAATGCAATCGCATATTAATTGAAACTCTCTCAAACATCAGCGCACCTCCCTACGGGGTGGATGCACATTGACGCCCGCCTACGCCGTCTCATACGCCCCGTCAGCCACTTGCCGCTTTCCATTTGCCACTGCCACATGCCGCATTCAGCTTTATTGTGAGTATATTAAAACGTTTGGCTGCACGCTTGCATTTAATGAATGCATATTAAATGCTTTTCTCGTGATTACAACGTGCTGCACTTGAAATGCATTTGGCACACCCCAAAGCTTAAGCTGGCTTGCATTTGACATTAACTTATTCATATCTCTATGTAAGTCAGATCAAAGCTCCCATGTCATGTTTCCCCCACTGCCAAACACGTTTCGTTAAGTGATGCATAAATGTGCCTGACAGCGGCTTCTGAGGCAATTAGTTCACATGGACAGCGAGAGAGAGGTGAAGAAACAGAGTGAGAAAGAGCTAAGACAGGAGTTGCATTGAAAGGGCTAAATATGATCTTATCTAAGATCAGACTAATGGGAGTGAACTAAAGCTCTCAGCTTCAGCAACTGAGATATGCTTACCATGTGCAGCTCTAGCAGATTGTCAATGTTTGGATAACCCTGACAACGCAGCTAATTAGTCATTAACTCTGCCGCTCATTTGCACAGCTGTTTTCAATTAGTGTCACTGCCAGAATCTATTTTTTGGCCGGGGCGCGGCTTAAACAAAACTTCAAGTTGTGCCAAGCATTAGGCTGTTGGGGCACACAGCTGAGTGCTATCGCATCGAACAGCAACTAGATTGCTCCACTCCGAAATTCGCTCGAATGAAACTATTAATCTGGACGTGTTTGCTGTGCCTCGCTCGCAGCCATGTGGGTGGCATGTTCTTCGAGCTGCCCGAGAATGCGGCAGAGTCGGCGGATGGCGCTGACTTTATGGACGAGGCGCTAAATAGCATCAACCAATATTTTGGCATTCCGGTAACAGCAACAAGTCCGAAGCCCACAGGCAGCAATAGCCCCAAGGCAACGGCAGCCACAACATCATCGACATCGACATCGTCGGGGTTCCTCGATGAGGTGGAAACGTCGCTGGAGCATGCAACAAACACACTCGACGATCTGTGGCAGCAATTCAGAAAGGTAATTTAGATAGCCCCAACACTGATTGCGATATATATCACGCACTGCGTCTATTCCAGGGCCTAGCTGGTCTGCTGGGCGACTTCAATGCTGACAACACAGACATTGATCGGCAGAACGCAACTACGACTACGAATGGCTTGCAGCAACTGGAAGTAACCCCAGCTGCGCTGCTTGTCGAGCTGACATCAACGACGCACAGGCCAATACCGGAAACAACAACAGCAGCAATGGCAATAACACCACCAGCACTGGCAACAGCAACAACAACCGTGCGACCTTCTACGCCGTAAACACTTCACAAACAAACATTTTATGTTTACTGGTATATTAAATATACGTATACAAACATATTTTCCACTTTTATTATTTAAATATAAAAAGAATAGAGTAAATAACAACTGTTTTAGAATATTTGCTCAGATGTTTACAGTATACAAAATATTTTGATGTGCTTCAGTCGTACAAAACTCGACTCCACAGTCGTTTCCGACAGACACGATGAGCTGCCACTTTAATCTAGCTCTCCTAACGCTGGCGCTGAGCGCAGCTCTGGTGCAGGTAATGGCGAAGCCAGAATAAAGAAAGAATAAACTGCATATGCGATCTATAATCCGTGTCTACAAATAATAGAGCGCTCCACGGGATGCCGTACTGAACGTTCTGAGCGTTGAGCAAGCGGGCTTGCCAGCCAACAACGTTGGATTCCCCAAGAACCCAAAGATGGTGGTCCAAATGATCCCAGAGCAGCTCGATCAGAATGTTAAGTGAATGACAGCAGCAGCAGGCTGACCTTAAGAAATCTCTTAATCTCTCATTCTGCTTTCAGATGTGAGTTCGGTCCAAATGCATTTTCTGCAACTGAATCTGCTGAAGATTTTGATAATATTGGATGTGATTATTTTAATGTGCATATATTATTCCAGCGATTAGAACTGTACTATTTATTTAAATTATATACATTTTGTAATTCGCTTTGAGCTTTAAATAATTAATAGAATAATATATAAATATAATTAAACGAATACGACTCCACATGATTATTTACGTTAAGTATTAGAGGCATTAGCGTGAGATTGCACTGAACTAGTTTATTTTATCAGATCAATTTAAAAAAATATATCTATATGTTCCCCTATTTTAGTCATAATCTGATTCTTACTAAAGTTTATTTAAACAGAATATTTTAAATTTTTTATTTTTTTGAAAATAATATACATATATTAAAGTAAATATTTATCACTACACAGCATGATATCCATGAAAAACAATAAGATCTATTCCACCATGGGATTTTTCACTTCACAATATTGAGTCATTATGATTATCTCAGAGCTAATCAACTGCAACTGCATAAGCAAAATTTTAGCTACAAAAATATAGAAATGGCAAAACACTCGAGTTCCAAAATAAACATTACTCTATCATCTCTTTGAACTGAACGGAAATGCCAAAAGCCAAGGCCTATGCAACATAAAATGTTTTTAATATTGTTTAAATATAATCGCACGGTTTACTTTAGCAACTCAAAGTAGCTTGGAGAGTCTCCTCGAGTCGTGTAAACGTAGCCAGAGTGTTGTGGCTTATTTAATTCCGTTTTTGTTTGGCTTTTAATGTAGCCGGAAAATAATTGCATTTGGCTGAAGTAGTCAGAGTTTTGCTTCACTTTGTGAAAGTGAAGTTTACTTATGATCACATAATACCTTAATTGCCATAGGCCATATCGCGTCTGGCAATTAACGGAGCCTGCAAAGCTATTTTAACTTTGTTTGTGTTTTCCTGGCAATTGCGCAATGCAAGTGCACAGTTATTCAATAATTATAAACCACTTGATTCGCTGCGAGACCTGAACATCATGGCTAGCACCCTTGAGGCTAGAATGCAGTGCGCAAAATATCATTAAATATTGGCAGCAACTCATTGGACCAATAGTGCTGGCCAATTGTGTATAACCAGTCAACGGCAGCAGCAGCAGCAACAGCAGCAGCAACAGCAGCAGCAACAGCAGCAGCAACAGCAGCAGCAACAGCAGCTGCAATGGCTGCAATTGTTGTTGCTGTTTCTCGTTTTGTTTGTTTGCTTTTTCGCTGGTACTTGCTATGGTCCCATAGCCTGAGTTCATAAATATTAACAGCTATTAAAACACTGAAACTGGAGCAGGCTGAAAATTAATTTTAAAGTTTTAAGCCGACTGCCGCGCAGTTTACGCGCAATTTAGCCAACAATGTGAAAACACGGTCCGGCGTCATGTGCAAAGGGGCGTTTAAACCAACACACAAATACATGCATATGTACGCACATGTGTGCGTGTGTGTATGTGTGTGTGTGTGTGTGCGCGCCTAAAAGCTTTCAATGGCAATGGGCAGCCTCAATCTAATGGCTCATTTAATTAAAAACGGAAATTGAGCAAGTGACCAAGAACGAGCCGAGTGGCCAAGCGGCCAAGCGGCCAAGTGGCCAGAAGAAACTTTTTACCAACTCCTAGGAAATATTAAAAACGGAAAACACTTTCAAGCAACTAATTCTCTGGCAGTGGCTGGCATGCTTTTTGCTCGCCTGGTCTTCTGCTCTTCAGCCTTTAAGTCTTTTCTGCTCTTCACATGGGTCTCACGATTTTGTCATAGAGTATGCCACACATAAAATATATATATTTTTGATTATACACACTCTGTAGACATATCATATATAGTTAAATACTTGGTGCAATGCTCTCTGCAGTATCAGATGCAATTAAGCTAGTTTGCGAAAGTGTATCAAGTTGTCGACAGTCCATGGCGCTCGGAAATTTTTTGCCGCTTTTTGGCAGCCTTTTACGGGCTCAGGACTTGGCCAGTTAGTCACTTTGCAGAATGGGCGGGGCACCGCTGCACAGCCAGTTGAGTGCCAGTGCCAAGAAAAGGAAGCTAACGCGGCGCAATTAGCAAGTTTATTGCATGAAATTATGAAACGCTTAATAAAAGAATATTTCGTTTAGCTCTATGGCTAAGGGCGAACGTGTGCGTAAATAGAAAAAAAAAAAAAAAAACAACGAGAAAACGAAAAGCAAAACCGAAAACAGAGCCACTAACAGCAGCAGGAGGCGGGCTCAGTTTGAGCCCAGCGAGTTAATTAAAAGGTTCACATATTTGAAAAGTTCTGTGCTCTCGCAGAACAAGCCCGACGCAGTTTAATCATGTAAGTGCTGGCAAATTGTCGGCTAAAAATTAGAGCCAGATAAATATTGCGCATACGCTCAGTATGCGCGTTAAATGTAGGCTGGCTGCTCCTCTTCCAACTGATGATGCCAAGTTTTATGCTAATGGCTTTCGTTTAAAGCCAAAAGTAATTTATTGTTGTCAGTGGGCACCATCAAAAATGTTGCTGCACATTCATTATGCCCCAATGTATGCGCCTCTCTTTGCTATATATATAAATGTGTGCGTATGTGTGTGTCTTTGTTGTTTCTATGGCTCTGTGTGCTCGTTGCGATTGTGTATGTGCATTAAATATTTTAGCTGAAAACATAAAGCCAACTCCCCGTGTCGCCTGCGAGCTAAAAGCTTGCATAGAAATTAAGTTAGCCAAGGGGAAAAATGCTTGAAAATTAAATGAAATGTTTTGCCACAAGTCTTGCAATTATTTGGTATGCAAACTATTTAAATACCCTGTACATATGCATGATGTCGAGCAAGGGCATTAATAAGTGAATTAAATTAAGGCTTAATAAAATTTGTTTATATAATGTTCTGATTTATTTTTTCTGATAGTAAGCAACATGGATTCAATCTCTTCTTACTAATAAAAAATATATATATATTTTATGGGTATCTCTTAGTTTGTCTCTTTAGATTTTTTAGATTTTGTGACGGCTGCGTGAAATAATAAAATAGAAATATTGTTGATTTCCGTGTGCAATAGAACATGAAATTCAATTTATTACAGTTATTTTTTATTTATTTATTTACTTTTTTCTTTTCAATTATTCTAGATTTGCATATTTCAAATGGTTTCAACCACAGATTCAATAGTTGATGGTAATGTACTCTATTATATTACAATTTTCAAAACTAAATGAATAATTCAATTGGGCCTAATACCCAGAAATCCTTTATATATGTGTTTAATTTGTTAATTAATTTCAGAAATTTCCATTGATTGCACTCAGCATGTTTCCCATGCTTCTGTTCAGAAATATGTGTTTCTAATCAGAGAGAATCTAATCTGAGTTCATTTATGTCAGTAGAATTATAATACGAATGGAAGTAGGGTAACTTATGCATGCAAATATTTTATCCCTGGCCTCTTTTCATTTAAATCTTTGTTTTTATTTAAGCAGAGACACAAAAGTTTCATAGTTTGTATTTGGACTGGCTTAATGTATGTTTGTTCGTTCGCTGGAGAACTGGATTTAAATATTTAAGCGAGCCGCTTGTTGCCCACGCGACACGTCTTTGACGTTGTTGGCCTGCTCGTTCTCTGGCCGTTTGTCGTTGCGATGCGGCCGGAAGTATGCAAAAGATAAAATGGGCGCGAACTTTGCAACATGTTTACGGTAAAAACGTGATTTTCTGCCCAAAAACTGAGCCCGGCTGCCGCTGACCAAATGTGGCCAAGGCCGAACCCTTCACCAACCGCAAATAAGTTAAGTTGGGCAACCACCCACGTACCACCAACCAACCACCCCCCACCCCCACGCATTGCCCATCCGGTCGCAGAACTCTACTGGCTTCACGAGGAGGCTAAAGCTCGTATAAAAATTAAGCATTTGTAGCTTTGTCACGTTCGTGTTGACACTTTCTTATCACAACCGGGCGAAATGAGTCTCTCCAACTCCAGATTCAGCTCCATCTCCAGTTCCAGCTCCAGCTCTATCTCCTGCTCCAGTTTCGGTTCAGTTTTCGGCACTCGACCCGGCCCCAAAATATGTGGATGTGCGTGATGGTATTGACTGTGACGGTGCTCTGTGCCGCACGCTAGCTCACCTGACCCTAGTTGAAATGAGAGTGCGTTGAGGGGCGTCTGCCACGCCTTACTATACACACACATATGCTGCACGTTTTCATTACGCTTAAAAGGCGAAAGTGCGTCAACAATATGTCTGACTGAGCAAAAGCCCAAATGCTAAGCGAACTTTTTGCCAAATTGAACAGCAAATCTAGAGGCGAATGAAAACCTTGAAATGAAAATGAAAAGCCTCTAAAGTTTTATGCAAATTGGCTAGAGTTTCACTTCAGCTAGACTATTTTTTTAAGTTGGTTAAAGCTTCCGGTATTTTTTTTTTTTTACAACTTAATGTATTAAGCATCTTCACATTTTGTAGCTGCCCGAATGCGTGTGAACATCTTAATACGCTTCTTAGTCAGGCTTACACACATCTGACAGCCGCATCAACTACAGCATTCGGCGCCGACTTAATGTGGTCTATAGCTTTGGGCCAGTTACCTGAGCTCTTAATGCATTGCCATTGCCTGGGCCGGAGAATTTCATTTTCATATTTAATAACTACGAAATTGTTGTTCGTCAAGCCGAGCTACGTCTTCTGAGGTAAATTTATGGCATGCCATTCAAGTTTAAGTTTTAGACCGAGTATGTATATATATGTACGTGTATATGTATGTACGTGAACGTTAAGTGGGCGAGAGTGAAAGTTGAGGACAAGTTTGTTGCCATGCAACTTTAATAAGTCGTCACACGAGACCACAAAACTTGCCAGCCAACGGCTTCAAATTGAAAAAGTTTAATGAGCATGCGTATTTGATTAACCTAAGGTCACACATACAAACAACCACACACACACAGATACTCATACAGGTATATAAGCTACACTCTTTTCACTTTGCAACACATTTTAGTCCTGACAGCGTTAAGCACAAATGCAATAAGACGAAAGAAAGCAATTGGGAGTGAAAAAAATCGGCAGTCACAGCATTTTGCTTTGTTTCTAGTATATGATGAAACTCCTATGGAACTACAATAAATGTGAGTTTCCTTTGTC